ACAAGATTCCTCTGTCCTGGGAGTTAATCCCAACCCTTGGCCAGAATTAGGGCTGGGATCCTCCCCAGACAGCAGCTGTCACCAGAACTATGTGCAAAAATACCCAAGGAGCTCAGATGCAGTTTATTAAATGGCATTTCATGGTGCCAGCCAGAGGAGGGGTGTCCCTGTCACCTGTGGTTGTTTTTTAGCTGCTGAGTGTGCTGTCAGTGGCAGGTACCAGTGCTGAGGTTGAGTGTGAGTGTGAGTGCACACATGTGCTGCCAGCCCTCCCTGTGCCACCATGGGAGCCTCCCTGCTCCAGCTAATAATAAGAGCTGCTGCAATTCCTTGGGCTGCTCTGGTGCCTGCCTTGAAGGCAGAGGATTAATGTCCCAGGATTAATGTCCCAGCCAGGCTCCAGCAGCTCAGTGCTATTCCCAGGGGTAGGAAAAACTGCCTGGTGAGCATTCTGCTTATGTGCCCTTTTGTACTTCAAAATGCAGCTTGATTTATATTTCTTGCTTTCACAAAGGCATCTTGAAGGGAACTAGAGAGCAGTAGCAGCAGGTTTTTGTTGGAGTTCTGTCCTGCATGGGAGTCTCTGTAAACACCCCCAGACAGTAACTCTTGGGTGCTTGAATACAAATGGAGTTAAAATTGAATTAGAATATGGCTCTCAAAAAATCCGTTTCCTTCTGTATCACTTGTGTCTATTTGTAATTTGTGTATCTTGTCTACAGTATCTCAAACATGTCACTATTTCAGTTATACTCTTTTAAGTGTGTTTAAATAGCCCCATGCTGAGCACAGCCTCAGGCCCCTGTTGGCTCTGGGAATTGGGGTGGGAGCACCCCCCATCTCGTGCAGCAGAAATTCCGCAGAACTATCATGGACTGGTTTTTTTTTTCAGTGAAACTGGGAGGTTCTGCCAGTCTGTGAGGATTAGTCAGCTGCAAAGTTTGTTTGGTTTTGTGTGTGTGCTAAATCAGTCGGTGTTTGTGAATTCTCTCACTGGTGTTTGCAAACTGGAGCATCCTGTGTGGGGAAATGTACAGAGCTGTCTGTGCCAGGACCCCTCAGGGGACAGGGAGTGCAGGAGGCTTCCTGGGAGTCCAGTGCACATCTGGGCTAAACAAAAGTGTCACTGGCTTTGGAAGGTGATGCTTCAGCAGGACACCAGTGCTGGGAGAGGGGACATCCCCCTGTGCTGCCCCAGCCCTTGGAAGGGGCATTCTGAGGGGATGCCATGGGCCTGGCTGGCTGCTCCATCCCTGTGGGATGAGGGATTGATGCCTTTGGCCCGGGAGGCTCTCCAGGGTACTGCCCTGCTCACCCGAGCGCTTCCTTCTGCCACAGGAGCTGCACGTGGGGATTAAGTAATTGCCTAATTGCCCGTCCCAGAGAGAAGCTTTCCCTCAGGGCTGGAGCTCCGGTGGTGCAGCCTGTGGTTTGTGTGGCAATCCCCGTGTGTCCTGAGCCCTCCCAGGATGTCCGTGCCTCGCACATCCCACCCCTGAGCCACTGGAGACCGGAGCACATCGGGATTATTTTAAATGAGGAGCTTTTCAATGGAGAAGCAGTGATGGCAAGTGGGTAGGGGGCTCACAGGTGGCCTGTGCGAGCTGGTCAATGTCTTCTGCTGCCCTTGGCCATCTCTCAGCTGCTTTCTTGTGCTCTGCTCGTGGTGGTGCCTCTTTGGTGGCATCAGAGACATTTGTCCTCTTGGGCTGGAGCTGGGCACGGAGCTCTGAGCAGGGCTGGCCCCACAGCGCAGCCCCAGCCCTGGGGAGCTGTGGGGTGCCATGGGGTTCTGTGTGCTGGCTCTTCCCGGGCATAGCCCTCGCTCGGGGGCACACAGAGGGGTTCAGCCCTGTCCTTGCCCTCTCTGCCTCCCCACTGCTGCAGTTCCCCCGTGTTCTCCCTCCCCCGTCCCTGTCTCACCGCCCTCATGGTGTCACAGCCCCAGCACCGCCAGCACCCGCCCCGTGTCCGGCCTCGGGAGAAGAAAAGGGTCCCTGTTCCCGCTGTGCTAATGGGGAAACGCCAGCTCGGCGGGAGCTGCGCCCTTCCCAGCCTCGGGAAATGCCTGTGCCCGGCGGAAAGTGGAAAATCCCCGAAAATCCCCGTGTGCCGCGGGCTCGGGGCTGGGCCGGCCCGGGGGAGGCCCCGCTCACAGCCCGCGGTGCCAGCGCGGCCTCTGCGGCTGCGGGGACCCGGCCCGGGCTGGCACTGATCCTGGGCGACAGCCACCACAGCAACAGCTCAGCGGCACTCAGAAATAGCCCTGGGCACGGGATACTCCTTCCAGGGAATGATCTGCTGTGGGAAGAGGCTGTACCTGCCCTCCGAAATTCCGGCCCTGTCCCGTGACTTTCGGAGAAGGCGGGACGTGTGTGGCCGTGCTGGGGCTGGTTGGTGACAACCTGATGTCCTGGGCACTGTGGGCAGCGCTTAGTGAATGTCTACAGGGTGACATTCTCCTTGAAATCAGCTTCTTAAAATTAACTCAGGTTTAAAATGGGTTCTCGTGTGGGTCTGAGGAGGATAGTGACACACACACATGCACACACACATATTTATTTATAGAATGAATGGGTATTGCATTTGCTTGTCCTGTAAGCTCGTCTGCAGAGTGGGTACATTAGGAATTTTGGGACGAGCCAAATGCAGCAGTAGGGTCAGTCCCCTGTCCACTCAGCAGAAATACCCACTTGGTGTGCACAGCTCCGGCCACCTCCCCATGGATCCAGTCCTCAGGAACTATTCCTGCCGAGGACAGTGTCCTGGCACGCTGAGGAAGGATCCAAGATGTAGCATTACTGGAATGCTTTTGGGATGACCGGGTAGGAAGAAGCTACACAAGTATGCAGAAACCGCTGTGGTTTGTCTCCCAGGCCTGGGAAGGAGACAGCCTGCTTCTATTTGTGCTAGCTCGGCTTTTTTAGCTTCTGGAGGAAGTGGGAGAAGGACCCAATGCTGCTGGAGCCAGCAGGGGCAATTCTCTGGGTCCTGGCAGGGTTGTGGCTGAAGCAGCAGGGCCTGTCCTGCTCCAGAACAATGCACGGTGCTGAAGGGTGAGTCCCTGATGGGAACAGGAGCCCAGTGCCACCAAGCCTGGCAGTGCCTGCCTCTCTGAAGGGACAGTCCCTCCTGTGACAGCTGCCTTCAGCCTCACCCAGGCCCAGATGTCCCAGAGCCTGTGGAATCATTGAAGAGACTGCTTGGACTCCCTGGAATGACAATGGCTGAGCCTTTCACAGGACTCTGTGCTGGCAGTGCCCTTCCATGTGCTGGCCATGGTGGTGGTGCTCTGGCAGCCTCAGCCCCAGGACAGCAGTTCCCAGTGAGCTGAATGAGGATGGCTGGCAGTGAGCAGTGCCCCAGCTGCCTTCATCCCTGCAGGGAACTATTTGCAAGATAAACTTGCAGTTCTTGAGGCAGTGGTGGGTGAGTTACTGAGGGTGGGCAGCAGCATTGGGCTTTAAATCCCGTGGGGATTTAGATCCCAGCTAGGACAGATGACCTTGTGGGCAGCGTGCCACAGAGGTGAGACTGTCTGCCCAGCCCTGGGATTTTGAGGGAGGAGAAAAGAGATTGGTGTACAAAGCTTGTGCTTCCTTGGTGTCCCCAGCCCTGCTGGGGACATTAGTGGCCCAGTTACACCAGCAATGCAGGGGACAGGGTGAGGAGCTGCAGCTGGTGCCAAGGCTGGGAGCGGTGCCAGAGCCCGCTGAGGAATGAGTGAGGGGGAGATGGAAGGAGGCAGCTGGAGCCGGCGCCGGGACTGCTGCTGCTCCTGTGAGCTCCATGGCTGTTGGGGCCATGGCAGGGCTATGCCAGTGCCACCAGGGCACTGCTGCCACTCCAGGGCCCTGGTGCTGCTCAGGTCTGCTGGATGCTGGATGCTGGATGCTGGCAGTGCCTCATGCTGTCCTCTCCAGGCAGGTACACCTGACATGGTTATGCCGTGGCCGTCCTGCTTTTTGTGCTTGCCTTGTCTCCCTTATCCCCATGCTTTGGGGCCCCACACCCCGTCCTGGCCTGCCCTGACACGTGGCACTGGACACAGCTGCCACAGGCACCAGCTGCTGGGGGCTGGGTACAGACGTATCACATCCTGAGCAGAACCGTTGTGCTCTGGCTCGTGTTCCTCCTGCAGGTCCTGTCAGAGTGGAGCTGACACCAGCCCGAGATGGGCAGTGGGCAGGAGTGATGCCACTGGAGTGCCTGATGCCAGTCCAGGGTGGATGACAGCCACCAAGGGTCCTTGGGAGCTGGGCTGAGCCCAGGCATCAATGTGGATCTGCTTGTCCGTGCTCCCTCCGAACTGCTCACACAAATCACCAGTTTGTGGGGTGTTCTGGTGTGCCTGCAGGAAAAATCCTGGCCCAAGGGGCTGCGAGTTAGGGACTGGCACAAATGTTTGTGACTTGACCTTTTATTGTGGCGCTTGTGAACAAATGATGTTTGCAGAAGGCAGATAAGGAGCTGTGAATAGCTGGAGTGAAGGGCTCAGATATATATCTTGGCCGGGGGGGTTCCCCTCTGTTGTTTGCCCCCAACAGGCTGGCGCTGGGTGATGCTGCTCTGCTGTGCCCGTGGCTCAGCAGCACCTGAGCACGCAGGGATGGCACCACGGCTGGGTACACCTTGTGCCTGCAGAGGAGAGCGCCAGGAGCTGCCAGCCAGCTCGGGCAGGACCCGAGCGACAATCTGAACCGTCCAGGGTTCGGGTTTCTAATGTCCTACATGTGCTTTTGACAGCCCAAACCCCCCTTCTCCCGCTCTGGCGTGTCGGTCACCCCTCGCCCCTTCCCACTGCCTGCGAATGGGAGCAGCTCGGGTGCGTTCCAGGCAGGAAGGAAAGCCTGGAGCTGTTTAAAACTCGCAATCTTCAGGGAATTTCAATCGCGTCCAAGCCCGTTCCCAACCAACTGAATAACGGTGCAGGGTTTGAATGCTGGCCCGCCTCCGCCGCCGCCGCCGCCGCTCCTCCCTCCGCGCCGCCCGCACCGGGCTCCGCCGGCTCCGCCGCCGCCGCGCTGCCATGGGGGTGCCGCGGGGGGCTCTCCCCGCGCTCTAGGGGGGTCTGCCGGGCCCCCCGGCACATCATGCCATTGCTGGACTTCTTCTGGGCTTGCTTCAAAAGAGCCAAGGTAGGGGAGCGCTGTGTCGGTCCCTGGCACGCTCCGCTTTGCGAAGCCTCGGCAATGGGCGCGCTGGGGACGCGTCCCCGGCGGTGTCGGCGGCTACTCCGGGGATGTCGTGCATGTGAGAGGGTTTAATTTTGGCTGGGCCATGTGTAGGTGCGTGATCCCTGTGCCCTGAGCTCTCCCGCTGCCCTGTCCTGGGTCACCGTGCCCCGGCAGCCCTGGTGGGCAGGGGACTGTGTGTGTCTGTCTGTCTCAGTGTGTCTGTCTGTCTGTTTTTGTGTGTGTGTGCGCAGCCTCAGCCCCCCAAGGTGGTCAGCCCATGCCAGGAGGGTCCTGCCGTGCCTGCCTGTATGGTGTGGCCGGGCTGGGATATCCTTCCCAGCCCAGAGGCTCAGGTCACCCGTGGTGTGCCTGTGGGACCGTGGCCAGCCTGGGGGGTCAGGGCAGCTCCGAGCAGGATGACAAAGGAGCAGCAAGGCCAAGGGCTCCCAGCTTTTCATTTCCTGCAGCAGCAGTTCTCATGGCGTGACTTCTGAGGTTTTTCTTTAGGGTTTAATTCTTCATCTGTCACATTAATAACAAACAACTCTCCCTGCCTCCTCCTGATCACTGTTGGCTTATTGTGTCCCAGCCTGTGCAGTGTGGTGGGAGGTGAGCTGGGGAGATTGTGGAGTTATAGTTAGTGTGAATTTCAGGAGCTTCAGATTGGGAAAAGTGTTAAAATCCCTTTTCAGACAGTGCTGTACACCGGGCTGTGTTGGGTGAGTGGATCTGCTGTGGTGAAATGGATGTGGAATGCACGCTGTCCCCCCGGGCTTTCAGTGTGCAATGCTTAAAATAGTTGAGTCTAAAAATGACATTTGTGAAATTCATTGGTAATATTAGTGGCTGTCTTGTCCCTGCTGTCTCATCCCTGCTGTCTCTGGAGAGCTTAGCTGTCCTCATTAACTCTGTTTGTCCCTGTGTGCTGCCTGTTGGCATTGCCATAGTACTGGTGGTGGCAGGGACAATGACACTGGGGCCTGCATGGCCACTGGCACGGCTGCAGCTTGGGAAGGCTCCAGCCTGGCCTGCACAGATTCTGGTACCCAGGGGTTTCAGCCTCCTTGGAAGAACCCAGCAGTCCCCTGCCTTCAGCCCATGTCTTTGGCCCATTGTAGGGTCTGGTGGCCCAGCTGGCCAGGGCACCACCCTTCTGGTTGCCTACAGTGGCCTCCTGTAGGGCTGAGCCTTCTGCCTCAGCCTGGACCCCTCTCCTCCCCGTGCCAGCGCTGCTCAGCTGCTCACCACCAGCAGGCGAGGAATTCTCACCTTCCTTGCTGAGGAATTTCTTGAACAGGGAGAAACGTGCTGGGCTCTGTCTGTGGGACTAAAGCTTTCCAGGCTAAATGAGGTGGATCTGTGGCTGGTGGAAGGTTTCATGGGAAAAGGAAGGTGTGGGAACAGGTTGGGCAATGCCAAAGGATCTGGAGGAGCTGGGTGACCTCCCCTGTGGACAGGGGCACGCTGTGAGGTCCAGCCCTGGTGATGGCACCCCTGGGGCATGCAGGGCTGGAGAAGTACAGCAGCAGGGACATGGTTAAGCCTGGCTTCCCTGGGCCAGCTCAGCCCTGCTGCCCCGGCAGGAAGAGGGGTCCCCGCTCCGTGGGAAAGCCGGGCTCGTCCTGCGGTGCATTCCTGCGGTGATCCCGCGGGGCAGCAGCACTGGAGGGGCTCAGTGTGCACCCAGACAGGGACTGGGGACCCTCCCGGGCTCTGGGCTCACCTTGGGACTGGGAGTGGGGACCTTCTGCTGCTCCTCCACCTCTGCAAAGTGCTGCTGTGTCCCCAGTGCTGCCCTGCTGCTCTGAATCCCGTTTCTCATGGCTTCCCTCGGCAGCTGGGCTGGTGGGTGCCAGGTTTGCCATCTTTGCCCGGTGCTCAGGGCCTTGGGAGTGGCAGTGGTGTTTTACAACCTGTGGGGTGATGCCCTTGGGAGAAGCCTTTGCCAGGCCCCAAGCATCATTGCTTGTTCCAGCTCCGGGCCAGCACTGCTGGTCTCAGGTCACTTCTGGGCAAAGGGGAGGCTGGAGCAGGGACCAAACCCAGATGTGAGGGGCAGCATTCCACAAATGTGAGAATTAAAATGATTTAAAAAAATTATTTTTGTTTGTTTTCTTTCTTTCTTTTCACAGAAATTCACCTTGTTAGAAGATAAAAAAGATGCAGGTAAGCTGCAGCAATAATCTTTGGGGCAGGAGTGCCCTTGCTGTTAAACAAGGGCAAGTGAGCAGGGATCATGGGAAGAGGAATGTTCCTTTGCTGGGTTCTTCTGCCAGCAGTGTGATTTTCCCCCCAAAATGTTATTTTCAAGAGAATATATTTGCAAAGGAACCTTGTTTCCTTTTCAAGTCCTCTTGTCTTTGTGGTGAGCAGCTTTGTGCTCAGCAGATAATGCCATGGGGAGCTCCAGAGCCTTGGCACTGCAATGCCATGGGCAGGAAGGGCACCCCTGGCTCAGAGACCCCAACTTTGTGTGCCTGGGGTGTCTCAGCCATGACTGTGGGACAGGAGGGCCTGGCAGTGCAGCTCAGGCTGATCCTGGGGGTTGTGCATGGCTGCTGCTGCCCTGATCAGACCCCTGCCAAGGTGGGGGCATGGGCTGGGGATGGGGCTGCCCGCCCATGAGGGGTTTGTGGGAGCTGGGGAGGCTGGAAGGGGTCTCTGGGAGCAAGAGGAGGAGGAGGAGGGGGAACATGTGTGTGCCAGCAGGACCAGGAAGCAGGGATGGGCATGGGGCTGTGGCAGGGGGGCAGAGGAGCCTTTCCTCATCCCACTGTGGGTGCCTTGGGGGTCTTTGTGCAGTGACACCTCCAGAGTCAAACCTGTCCCATCCTACACAGGGTGTCCCATGGCTCTGGTGGCTCTGGAAGTGGTGGCTCTGCTGCTTTGGGCACAGGGCTCAGGACATTCCTTGTGAATGCTGGCTCTGGTGCTGGAGGTGGGTGCAGTGGGGCTGCCCACACTGCTGGCTGGAGCCCTGGCACCATGGGAAGGGAACCCACCATGCAGTGAGCCCATGGCATGTGCCTGGGATTCTCCAGGCAGTTCTCTGCCCAAAGGGTGGTGCACTGAGGGCCTCTTGTTTTCATGCACATAGGGATGAAGTGAGCTCTGAGCCTGCCTGGTGAGAGCCCAGAGCACAGGAGAGCTCTGGGTAACAAAAGGTGCTTTGTGAGAGAGCCTCAGAGGTATCTTGGGTGGTCTCTGGCCCTTGCACGGGAGAGATTAAGAGCATAAAAGTCAAGAGTTAAAGAGCCCTGTGGAAGGGAAGGGGCAGGGAAGGCTCCTATTGATCACACTGTGATTGGGATTTTGGGGCAAAAAATGTTTTTAGGGTTTTTTCCCCCTTGGTTAAAACTGCCTGTAGAATCCAGGTCTCTCCTGATGGAAGCTCAGTGACACTCACATGACCCCAGGTGATGCCTGCCTGTCACATGTCCCTGTCCCAGCTCTGGCTGCTGGAGGGATGCTGGGTGGCCATGGGCTCTGGGGGCAGGAGGAGCAGGAGCCTCATGTCCTGAGCAGGAGCCTTGTGTCCTGAGCAGCTGCAGAGTTTCTCACTGTGGGATTTGTCACCTGTGACTTGATGTGATGATGGAGCCATAGCAGCTCCTGGTGTCACTGTGACTGCAGCAGCACAGTGCCTGGGGCAGGCTGGAGTTCTCCCTTTCCCATGGATTACACTGGACCAGCATGCAGGGGTGTTGTGCCCTCCACTGGGAAGGGGCCAGGGCAGGTCCTGCTGTCCTCTTCACTCATTGTCCCCAGAAGATGCTCAGACAAAGGGGGCATTCAGGCTGTGGGCTTGGGGACACCATTCCCTTCCCTTATGATGATTTCAGTCACTTTGGATGGGTGGCACGAGGACTTCAGCTCCTGACACAGTGGCATGGGGCAGTAGTGGAGATGGTTCTGCTTCATCCCAGCAGCTCTTGGTGAAGTGTCTTGTCCATCAATTCCCAGAGCTTGCCTCTGACTTTCCCCCTTCAGCACTGCTGCTCTCCCAGCACACCTGGCAAACTCCCTGAGCTGCTTTTCAGGCATGGACAGACCCACTCCCTGCCCCCTGTTTGGAGCTGTGGTTGTGCTGCCACAGCCCCTTCCCCGAACACTGGCTGGATGAGGTCATTAAAACACCTGGGTATGCCATGGCAGCTCCTGCAGTGATGGTGGAAAACAACTTGGATTTCATTTGCCTTCTTGGAGGTGATGTTCCAGCCGTGGATCACATGGGGACTGCTGTGTCCCTGCTCTCCCTCCTGCTGCCCTCCCCACATCAAAGCCCTCCCTGGCCCACCCTGCAGTCCCCTTGGCTGTATGGGACACAGAGCCCCTGCACAGCCCCAGACTGAACCACTGGAACAATCCCAGCTGGGTCAGGTTTCCATGGATTTCCTAACCCTCTGTTTCCTCTCCAGCATTCACTTCCCGTGTATTGTTCTGGACTGAGCAGAAAGGAAAAGCTTAAGAAAGGAAAGGCTCACAGCCTGGCCATGCACCTGAAAACTGCATCCTCAGGATAAATTCCTACCAACAGCAGCACCAGGCCCTTCCAGAAGGGACCGGGAGGTGCTCTGCCCATGTCACAGAGCAGTGGCTCCTCTTGCTGCTCAAGGACAGGGACAGAGCTGGTGGCTCCTCAGCACAGCCAGACAGTGGTGTCACAGTGGTGACATTGCAGCCTTTCAGGGTGGGCTCCTGTGGCTGGGTGTGCTGAACTAACAGGGAAAAGCAGCACAAGGGACGCGGCTGAACTTTTGCCCCTGCATGAAATAATAAGGTTGTATTTACTCAGCATCTGGATCACCGAAAATAACCTGCTAAATTTAGCTGTTGTTGATGTGCTGTCACAGCTGAGCTGTTCTTCTCTCCTTACACAAAAATCTCCTGCCCTGGCTTGGTGGGTTTGTGGCCTGAGCACGAGGCCCTGTTCCTCACCTGACCTGAGCCCATGGCTGTGTGTCCCTGCGTTTGGGGGCAGAAGCAGAGACTGGGATCTGATTTTGTCAGTCTGAATGTGTTGGAAGGGAGAGGGAATGGGACTGGCACACCCTGGGGTCTGTGGTTGTGCAGGGGCTGCTGCTGTTAGCACTGGGGCCATGCTCTGGCTGTGGCATCAGAGGGGACCCATGGAGTGAGTGGGATGCTGGATGTGGCAGCAGGGACCCATTCTGGAACTCCTTGAGAAACTGCTGCTCTTACATGGTGGAAAAGGCAGTCATGGGGCTGGGCGTGGGTCAGAGCGCTGGGAAGTAGAAAAGCTGAACCGAATGTGATTGATTGTGGTTTTGGTGGGACATGTGATGAGGGGATTCTGTGCTGCTCCTTCCTCTTCCTCTTCCCTGCCCTCCTGGGTTCAGGCTTGGCTGGTGAATCACCAGTTCTCATTCTTGTGTCCCTCTGCCTGTAAAATTTGTGTAGCTCTGACCCCCTGATGACTGCTGCAGTGACAGAGACCCCTCCCCCAGCTCCGCTCCTTCCTTCTGGGCTTTAATTCCAGGGCTGGAAGTTTTCCCATTTCCTGTAGCTAACAAAATACAGATTCCCCCCTCTGGACAGCAGGATCCGCTCACAGGTTGGGGGATTTTCTTTGAAGGCCAGAAAGGAAGAGCCTGGGTCAGAGAGAAGGTTTTTCTGTGTTGGTGAGTTTCAGAGCACGTGGGAAGTGCAGGGAGCGAGCTGGGAAAAGGCTCCTTTAGCCACCTCATGCCCGGAGTGTCGCCAAGTTTTTCCCATGGCAGCAAGGAGCGACTGAGACTGAACGGAAAGTAACTGCAGGCAGGAAAGTACATTTCTATCTGCATCCTCGGGTGGTTTGCATGATACTGAAAGGAGCGAGAGGGAAGTTCTGAGTGTGGTCATTTCCCTGAAATTACCATGAGAAAATACACTGAAAACTGGCAGAAAGGTTTGGCTGGGCAGTGGTTTTTCTTTGGTCAGAACTTGGACATGCAAACTGCCTTAACATGCACAGGAAGGTAATCCTTGTGCCTGAAGCAGCCCCTCAGTCCTTCTGGGCAAAGCTGGTGCACAGGGAGCAGGCATGGGGCTGTGGGAGCCTCCTGGGGCTGTGTGATGCTCACGGGAGTTTGTTTTCAAAGCCCGAGAGGTCAGATGGGGAAAAAGCAGTATGAGGTGTTGGCAGGCCAGTCTGATCACGTTAATTCCTTCCCTTCTTAAGAAGAACCCCTGAGCCCTGCCCGGGAAACATCCCTCCCCCCGGGGAGCGGAGGCGGCAGCGGAGCGGGGGTGACTCAGTTTTGGGGGGATGCAGGTGGAACACGTGGCTCAGCATGACCTTCACCTCGGGCCCTGGTGATGCCCGAGCCTGGGGGACGGGGCTGAGCGGGATCTCAGGTCCCGGGGATGCTGCGGGACCCCCGGGGCGAGCGGTTTGCTCGGCCGGAGGCGCGGCCGGGGGGGCTCCGCCGGGGCTGCGGGGCTGCGGGCGGAAGGGGAGCGGGCGTTCCCCGGGAGCGGCCCCGGTCCCGTGCCCGCATCCCTACGGGGGAGGAGCTGCAGCTGGGTCGGAGTGCGATGGGTCGCCGGGACGGGGCCGGGGTCGCGGCTCCGCGCCGGGGCTCCGGGCGCTCCCTGGGGCTGCGGCTCCGCCGCGCCGCGGCCGCGGCTCCGTGCGGGGGAAAACGGCGCGGGCGGGCAGGTGAGTGCAGGGCCGGGGCTGCGGGGCCAGACAGGGGCTGCGATTAGCCCGGTACAGGGGCCAGCCCGGTGCAGGGGCTGCGATCAGCCCGGTGCGGGCAGCGCTGGCAGCGGGGCCGGCGCGTTCGGTGCGCGGCGGGCGAGGGCCGGGGCTGGCGCAGGGCGGGCTCCGTGCGGGTCAGTGCGGTGGGCGCGAAGGGCAGAGTACAGACAGGGGATGCAGCTGACTGAGGGGCGCGGACTCTGCTTTCCATCCAAACCCGGTTTTGCTGGTGTTCTGGGCCGTGCCCGGCTCTCTGTGTGATGCCGGTCACAAAGCCGAGGCGGGGACTGTTCTGAGCCCACTGGTAAAGCAGATCATCCACGCAAGAGTCGGTCAGGTGAAAAGGACTTCCACTTTTCATCAAACAAAGAGCTTTATTTTGTATTTGATAACGTTTTAATGATGCTTGTATCAGTCATCTTGTCCAGGCTGTGAAAATGCTTAAGGAGTTTTTGTTCATTTG